GAAAAGAGCGCTCGCCCCGGCGCTCGGCTCCGCGCGACGCGGGAGGGAAAAACGTATTGGCAGGACGCGCACTCAGGAGTTAAAATCACTCGTGGCTCGCGGAAAACATTCATTTGCAAGAGCAAACATTCCTCGCTATTTATCGAGTGTCAGAGGGAATACCTGCGGCCCATTTTCGTATCGAGCGGGGCTGAAGGGACCCGGCGAGCGCGTGTACGTATGCGCGCGTGTGCGAGTGTGTGCGCGCGCGGAAGGAAAAGAGACGAAAAAACACGAATCGAGCGCAACAAAAACATAACTTTCCGCGATGGCGGCGCGAAGGGTGCTCGAGGAACGAGTGGTCCTTCTCTAGTATTCCATCGGTGTTATATAGCTCGTCAGATCGAATGTTTGTTTTCAGAAAAATAGACAGAAACGAGACGGGAGAACACGCGAGCGCGTTAACACTCGTCGAGGCACCCCCGCGAGCCCTCCGTTGTTGTAGCACGCATTGACGAACGGCCGAAACGTCGCGTAGCTTTTTTCCTTTTTCCCTTTTTTATTTCTCCCCCACCACCCTCCTCTTTTCTCCTCTTTTTTCCTCTCTCCCGTTTCCCTCCTCCGGCTTTGTCCTATCTTTTATTATTCCATCCTGTAGGAGCTTTGTTTTTTAATACTTTTGTCGATCGAGTCGCGCGACGCGCGCGCCGGGGTGCACGCTGCTCCCTCTTTCACGCGGCAACCCACGTCCCGATTTCGATTCCCGTCCGCGATTCCATTCCATCTTCGAATCATCGAGAAACGAACCCGTAGAACCTACCTACCTATCTATCGCCTACCACCTATCCGTCCGCCTCGTTCCCGCGAACGCGATATTTACAGCCGGCGATCAATTTTCGAATAGCCCCGAAACGAAGACGGGAGAGTCGCCGATCGGTGAAAGGCTGTGCGAGCACGGTAGAAAGGATTCCGCGACACCTTTTTCTTTCACGCTATCCCGCGTCTCGTTCCGACGTCGGCGTCGCCTCGCTACCGACAACGCGTCCACCTATATACCTTATATATACGCCACCACGCCGAACTAACTTTATCCCATTTCATCGGTCCCGGTACACCCGTCGTCTTCCTTTTCCACCCCTATACCGGTATCCACGCGCGTTCCTTCCACGCGCGCCACGCGCTTCGGAATCTCGCGAACGGTGCACGTACTCGGTACCCCGAGTAACAGCCAGTCGGCCGGCTTATCGGAATCGTTAGGCGGATCGAAACGAAAACACGCAAACAGACGATTTCCATCCAGCCACTCGTTCCTTCTTCTTTCGCGGTCGGTTCCTCTTCTGCGACGCGCGCGCCACTTTCGACTCGAACGTTGGCAAGGTTAAAGCGAGATCGGCGCTCGCGATACCGGAGAGGAGGAAACCTCTCGGCACCGCGAGTTCTTGGCAGCGCGCGTTTCTGCCACCGGAGGAGATAAATCAACGGATTTTACGCCGCGAGACGTAGTTGGACACCGTTTCCAAAATTCGCGACTGAGCGAAGCGGGCGCGGGCGGAGGAGGGTGGGAAAGAAAAGGCGAAAGGGGAGAGAAAGGAAGGAGGAGTTTCTCGGGAAAAGAGCGAATCGGTCTGCTCTCATCGAGGCGATCGCTGATTTTCTGCACGCAAACACGCAGCGTCGATTCTTACGTTCACGTTGATACGGAGCAACGCTCGCTCGCTGCTCTTATCGTCAGAAGTCACACGATAAACCCGTCGACGTTTATTCTCCAAATATATACGACTGTGATTGTCGTTGCCGGGAATCGTAGCGAAAACCGGATCATCGTATTCGCCGCGGACGAGAGACCTAGAAACGCGCGTAGGGTGGAGATCGCGCGCGGTTAACGGCGGCGGCCGATCGATCGATGGATCGGCCGATCGATCCCCCGGCCTGGCGAATTCGACGCGCAATTCCGCGAATCCGGGATCGGGGGGCTGCCCGCGGAGGATCGTCGGAGGGCCGCGTGTTTTATCGCGCGTTTAATAATTGCATGCAAATGGGAGCACGAGTCGGACGCGAGTTCGATAAGTTTCCACTGCGCGCAGCTGGTTTAAAGTCGATCGAATATAAAAGAGGAAAACGGGAACCGGGGGGGAAGAAAGGATAACAGGATTATTCGCGTCGATTGAAAAGTTGAACGTGTGCGACAAGTACCTCTGAAATAAGCAAAGTTCCACAGACCGATCATGTGTAGTTCTGCTGGTCCAAGTTGGGGAGCCGGGTTAGCGGAGCTAAACGAGAACCAATCGTGTTATTCGCCGCGATTGACTTTATACTGTCCAATAACGATCCGGGATCACCAGCCGATGGCGATATCCTCGTCATGTCAACCGGCGAAAATGATCCTGTTTCGATGACGACGCCAAAGAGGAATATCGCGATAAACCTACAGCAGAGATAACGTTCGCTCTTGCCGCGCTCGATAGCTTTCTCTCTCTCTCTCTCTCTCTCTATCCGTCTATATCTCTCTCTACCTATCCGTCTCCCTCTCTCTCCGTTCGTTCGTATTTTTTTTTCTGCCTCTTCGTTGCGTTCTTTTTTTTCCGCGAAACTAGATTACAATTCGACGCTTCATAGAACGTGGAACGAACGGAGAGAGAGAGAGAGAGAGAGAGAATCACTGGTCGCGATAGATGGACGGATAGATGGACAGAGAAAAAGAAAGAGAGAGAGAGAGAGAGAGAGAGAGAGAGAGGTTTTAGCGCGTTCCTTCGAGAGATTCCTTCGTTCCGTCAGGTGCAGAGAGCGAAGAAGAGCCACCTCGGGGCTGCGGAAACGTTAAACGTCCAGCGATTCGACGATCCAACGATCCAACGATCGAATCAAGACGAACGCTCGAAAGCGAACCTCGAATTTCGACGGCTTCGGAAACTTTCTAGATCCCCAGACGAGACGATCTACGAGTTAACAGGCGAGCCAGAAACTCTCGTTTGGACGTTTAACGCGAACACGAGCCCAGAGGTAGCGTAAGCGCAACGCGATATTCAAACGACGCGGAGCGGCGCGCCTCCTCGTCGACGTCGTCCGATCGAACAGCGACAAGAACACTGGAACAACCGCGATGAAACGAAACTCTGTTTCTCAACGTACGAGTATCGTCGATTTTCACGAGCGTTGTTCGCTGGCACACGATCGACCGGTGTTCGACCGACAATTGATCACTGATTTCGTTCGCGTATCGCGAGGCCGATGCAAACGAACCGATACCGACACCCATACGACGCGGCCACACGTCGAACATCGCGACCAACGCACGCACGCATGCACGCACGCACACGGGAGAGAACGTTCGGGACCGTTCACGGGCCCCGCGGTCGCAGATCTCGAACGATCATCGCTCGCCGAGATCTCGCGAGGGCCGTTCTCTCTCGGTCACGAGCACCGCGATCATCGCGCAATTTCTCTCCTCTCCCGACAGCAATGTTCACCTTGACCAGGCCCCGGTAGCGACCGGAGCGGACAACGAGCGTGGATACTGAAACACCGGCGACTCCGCGAGCACGACCGTTGGCGAACGGACGGCGATGGACACGCGATCGGGACGATCAGCGTCGAAAGGACTCGCGGCGGTCGAGATCGTCCGAGCACCACGATCCAGTACCCTCGAAAACTGATTGCGCTCCCGGAGAGAGCGCGTTTCGACACTCTGCACTGGCGAGACGATAATTTCAGAGGCGATTAGATGACCCAACACCGACGATAGTGTAACGAGACCGTATTTTGCGGATCAGCGTGCTCTCTCTTCCTCGCTCGCCAGCGTAGCCCCGTCTCTCGCTCTCTCGCTCGCGTCTCTTTCTTTCCGTCTCTATCTCCCTCCCACTCCCTACGCGTCTCGCTCGCTCTTCCATCCGGCCCCCTACCTCTCTCTACGCGCGCTCTTTCTCTCGCACGCTTTTTCCTTTCTCGGGTTTTGCAAATCGCCCGAGCGGACACGATCACACCGACGGATACCGAGATTCTTCACGGTTCTCCCCTTTTTCTCTCTTTTTCCCCCCCGGTTCCCCCTATCCTCCTCCTTTTCTTCCTCTCTTGCTCGCTTTCCGCGCTTTTCGCCGGGGTTCCTTCGCGATGCTCCGATCGACTATCATCCTTCCGCGTCGTCGTGTTCTAACACCGATTTTTCGGAGCACTGTTCTCCACCGCGAGAACGATAACGATGATGGCAACGATGATGATTACGATGAGGACGAGGATAACGAGAATGACAACAATCGATGACGCGACGCGGTGTGCACACCGGTTCCACGAGAAACGTGGTTCGTTCGGTAGCGCGCTGTTCTCTCTCTCTCTCTCTCTCTCTCTCACTCTCTCTTTCTCTCCCGGCTCTCGGAGTACTATAGGAGCACACACGAGTTTAGAAGCGGGCACGTGTCTAGCCGGCGGCGTGTTTTAATCGGTGTTGGAAGAGCACTTATCCGCTAGTAGGTGCCGGCACGGTAGTCTCTGTCTTTGTTCCGTGTGTACACGTTACACGGCTTCGCGTGTGCACGCGTGTGTATACATTGCGGGGGAGTCGGCGGGACGGAGGGGGGAACGGACAACAGTCGACGAGAGAAACGGACGGAGATAGCACGCGTGCACGATCGCGTGGACGAGTGTGTCAGTGCGTGTACGTGCGCCTGGCGCGTGTGTGTCCGTGAGAGCCAGCGCGAGGGAAGGAGGGAGGGCGGGAAAATTCGAAACCGCGCGTACACAGCGCGCGCTCGCGATGACGTAGTTTTGGCAAAACGTGGACGACGCACAGGTGGCCAAACGATTCGATGCGTGTGATTTCGTTGTCGGGGATGATGCGTGGTCTCTTTCTCCCTGTCTCTCTCTCTCTCTCTCTCTCTTTCACTCTCTTTCTCACGCACAGACACTCTCTCTTACTCTGTCTCTCTCTGCTCTCGGTATTTCTTTTCCGCGACACCGACGCGCGATCGGAAAGCGCGGAATTGGAAAAATTGGAAAAAAGGAGACACGATGGTTGCTGGGGTACTCACCGGAGTTGTAATATTCCTTAAAGTAGCGTGTCGCCGCACGCTGGACGATCGAGTAATATAAGTTCACGTACGACGTCGACTGGTTCTGTGCGGAGAGCGCCATTTACACTGTTTTTTCGTCGCGCGTGTTTCACCGTGTTAGGTATATATATATATATATAAGAATATATATATATATAATTTTTTTTCTCTTCCTTTTCCTCTTATTCCTCTTCTTGCCTCGTCCCCTGTCCGGACGATATTCACGTACACGTATACACGCGCGTGTCCGTCCCGCGTACGTATATACGCGTGCACGTAGGCGGCTAGGTGTCGTATAGAACGTAATGTAGATTCGAAGCGCGCACGTTCGCGTGATCACGGCGGGCAAGATGTGACGTGACGAACGACAAACGCGCGAAACGTGTGTCCCGTCTGCGGCTCTCGTTCCTTTCGTTTTTTCCTCTCTTTTCTCTTCTTCCGTCTCCTCTGTCGTTCTTTTTCCCTACCACGTCGCGATCCCTCCGTTGTGACACGAGATCGTTTCCCGATGATCGCGGCCGTGAAAAAAACTTCCCGGTACCAGGAGCCAGGAAAAAAATTCGTTAATTTTCCTCTTTTTCTTTCACCCGTTCTTTCTTTTTTCCACTTTCTCACTCTCTTTCTTTCTCTTTCTCCTTTTTTCCGTTCTTTCTTTCTTTCTTTCTTTCTTTCTTTCTTTCCTTCTTTCTTTCTTTCCTTCTTTCCTTCTTTCCTTCTTTCTTTCTTTCTTTCTTTCTTTCTTTCTTTCTTTCTTTCTTTCTTTCTTTCCTTCTTTCTTTCTTTCTCTATTTCTCTTTTGCTCTCCTCCTCGACCGGTCCTCCCTTTCGATCACGTTTTTCCCGGTTACGGCCTTCAAGCAGCGAGACGGTCTCGCATGCCGGCTAGAGGCCCGCGACTTTGATCCTCGGCACACTCGCTTTCGGGTTACCCGCGCCGGTAGACACAAACTCGGTAGACTCGGCCTGAGCCCCCCCGAGTAACTCGCCAAGACCGAGACACTGGCGAGCTGCAGCGTTGCCACACTTCCGTCGCCGCGGTGCGCGCTCCCGGAGTGGGGATTTCTGGACTGGTTCGGCTTTGGGATGGTAGACACCGTCGTCGGGAGAGGACGAGCGGAGAAGGTGCCGGCGTCGAACCAGTGGTGATGGCGGCAGGGGCGGATTCACGCGGCTCCGGTTCCGTCCGCGCGCGTTAAACCCGACGATTCTTCCTTCTTGCACGTATACGCGAGCGCACACGAGGCGCGTACTCTGCTACTCCTCGCGAGTCGAGTAGGGAGAACCCCTAGATATCTCTCCCTCGTTCTCCGTGTCCCCTTTGGTCTCCACTTTGGTCCTTCGGGTAGCTTGCAACCGGTACGGCAAATTGGGGTAGCGTGACGGGCAAAATTTCTCAACCGCTCGCATGCAGACGATTGCCGGTCAACGAGGAGTTCCTCTTGATTTTGTCGTTAATTGGATGGTAGCGAATTTATACTTTGTTCGTGAGTCAATTACAGATTCGGCGGAGACCCGGCGCGTGTATCACGGTCTCTCCCGTATCGGAACAACCACGACCACGAGTTCTCGGTGAAGACCGGTTCGAGTAATTTTCGAAAATTACCCGCTCTCTCTCTCCCTCTCTCTCCCGCTCTCTGTCTCTCGAAGCAAACAACTCGATCGACGATCTATCTGCCCGCGTCGCTCGGAAATTCGTCGAGTTACCACCCTTTGCGAGGGAAAAGAAGAAAAAGAAGAAATGAGAAACAAACTCGCGAGCGAAGATCTCTTCAAGATTCTTTTCCATCGGATAGCGAGGAAAACCGCGTTCGAGGAGACCGTTTCCTTCTGTCCGATCGTTCGGTACCGAATTCGCGTTACCCCGTTACCGATCGGCGCGAGATCGGTGTAGAAATCGGCGACGGAATCCAAGGGCGGCGAAACTCAGAGCTCGCCCCTGGCGGACGGGTCCGAGGGTGGTGGTGACGGCGGTAGTGGTGGTGGCAGTGGTGCCGGTGGTGGTGGCGATGGCGGCGGTGGTGGTGGTATGGTGGCGGTGGTGGTGGTGGTAGTAGTAGTGGCGGCGTGGCGGTGGCAGTGGCAGTGGCGGCAGCGGCGGCGGCGGCGGTGACCGTGTTGGAGGAGAACGAGACACAGCGAGGAGTGAGGACGCATCGCGAAGAGGAGAAAGAGGGACAGAAGGAAGGAAAGGAAGGAGAGAACGAGAGAGAACCGAGAGGAGTCGGAGCAGCGAGGAAGTTATGTCCGTTGCACGAGCGTGGAAGGGGTTTGATACCGTGTCGCGAGGGGGGCAGAGCGCGGCGTGGTGGGGGTGGTTTCGGCGGAGAGGAGGAGGCGGAGTGGGGGTTCCTCCAGTCGCCTTTCCTCCCCCTCGCTCTCTGCCTCCCCCTGTTCGTCTCTCACTCCCTGTGGCTGATGTACCCCTCGATGCGCGGTGCGCCGTGATGCATCGCGCTGCCGGCCGCCTGTGCGAGTCACAAGGTATGCTCGTGCCACGAATACGAACTGCCTCTCCCAAATCAATATCAGTCGTGGAAAAAAAACGCGACTCGGCACCTATAATTGCCGAACTTCCGCGATAACCGTCTCTTCTCTCTGTCTGCTCTGTCTCTGGCCGCCGCCTCGCCGCGGGGGCGACACGGGGGCCGCCCCCTCTCTTCCCCCCGAACCGCCGCTGCGTTAGGTTAGGTTTCACGCGCTAGCTTGATTAGGGCCTCCCTCCGTGGCCCACCCCTCCCCCATGCTATCACGCACGTTTCCCGCCACCCAATGTCCGCGCACGATGATTTTCACTGACTATGCCTGGCCGTGTCGTAGCCACGTGCACCAGCCGCGACACGCTCGCGCCCGCCGCCCGACCGAAGGTTATGCCTGCTGCGAAAACAAAGCGGCGGCAGCGGCGGCTGCTGCGCTTTGCTCGAATCGAGCTGCGTGTGCTGCTCGAACACAAAGAAAACGCTTCACTTCGGTTACGTCGCTTTCGGAGCCAAGCGTTCTCTACGCTTGTCCCGATACCGTGTTCCGTTCCATTCGATCCACCCGGCGACCAATCGAATTTTTTCCCCGCTCGGTCATCGGTCCAAGGGCTTTCGCCAGCGTGAATTTTTCCAAGGGTTTTAAACGCTCTCTATTTTTCCTTTCTCCATTCTCCTTCCCCTTCTCTCTCTTTCTCTCTTTCTCCCTCTCTTTCTTTCTCTCTCTCTCTCTCTCTCTCTTTCTTCTTTCTCGCGCTCGGAGACGGAATCGCGACGCGAGCGTAGAAAGAAAGCGCGTATATCGTCGCGCAGCGTTCGCGGTTATTCACAATGCACCGTTGTGCTGACCCGATTGCGAGTTATCGGGCGCGGTAACGGCGGTGTGATAACGCCGCGATTCGAACGAGCTGCGGACTTTTCCGAGGAGGAGGTGGCATCGCGCGCGCCGTTCTCCGGTCTAGATACTTTCGCGTACCTCGGACGAAATTTTCACCGATCTCCCCTCCTAGTTCTATGATTCGCGTCCTACGCCACGCGCGTATCCCTAAACTCCGTTTACCGAAAAGTCACCCCCGATATTTCTCGTCGAAGAACATAGGCGGAAGAAAGAAGACGACGAGCGTCGAAAAGCGAGATGGAAAAAGAGCGAAGAAAGCGAGACGAAGAGGAAGAAGAAGAAGACGAAGAAGAAGAAGAAGAAGAAGAAGAAGAACGGCGGAGGCAACGGGGCAACGTGCCGGCCGAAGTTCTCGGCCACGAAACGAATTTAACGATCGCTCTCGCA